ACCAGTTGGTAGCATTTAGATCATAATGGATGTGGTATTCTTGCATTCCACTTTATTATCACATAATATGTTGTGTTGAAAAAACAAAATATACCAAAAGGTGCAGCGTGAAAAGCTCTACGATTTATAAAGTACCGCTTATTTTATAGTTGTACTTTTTGTTTTAAAAATGGACAAAACTTTGAGCTATCAAATTTTGACGTTGCGAAAACGAGATTGTTTTTTTGGTAAAGGATAAATTCCGTTTTTTCTATCTCATTTTTTTATTACTTAATATGTTTTATTTTAAAAAGCAAAATACACTGCAAGATGCAACGTGAAGAGCTCTACAATTTACAAAGAACAATGATACAAAAATAAGATAGAAAAAAACCGAATTCGCTTTTTTATCCAAAAAACAGTCTCGTTTTCATCATGTCGAAACTTGGTAAGTCAGAGTTTTGTCCATTTTTAAAACAAAAAGTACAACTATAAAATAAGCGGTACTTTATAAATCGTAGAGCTTTTCACGCTGCATCTTCTGATATATTTTTTGTTTTTTTTTAATACAACGTATTGAGTGATAATAAAATGAAATGCAAAAGTGTCCCATTTTTTTATGCCACACTCCTTATGATCTAAATGCCACCAACTGGTTTTCAACAAAAATAGTTCTTATCGAAATTTTATTATTATGATATAAGTTTAATACTGATCAAATAGCATAGAAAGATGCAGCGAAAGACGCTCTATCTTTTCATAAAAAAAGAAAATTTTTCCAAGCGGTCTATACCAAAACACAATATCAGGCTCACTACTTTTGGATAACCCTAAGTAATAATAAGAAGAAGATAAAAAATAGTGAATGATTAAATTTAGATCTATCATGTTATAATTCAATTGTTTTTCATAAAATTTAATTAAAGAAATAAAATCAATTTATAAATCATAGTAGACATCAGCAATCATCGCATCAAGCTATTATATTATCATTATCTCGTCGTTCTTCGTGCTGTTTTCTGTTTTTTTCTCTTGTAAGTGTCTGCGACGGAACAAATAAATAAAGAATCGAAAAAAAAATCCACACACTAGACGTACAAATGCATTCTTTCTTTCTTCTATCTATCGTAATATATCATGCATAAAATATACAGTATATGTAATGTAGTGACATATTGGATTTTACCCACTGATCACTATTCATGTATGTTGGAATTTTCCAAGTTTTGTTTTTTCTTTCTTAGTATGTATTTTTTCATTTCATGTTGAAAGTTTCTCATTCAACTGTTATATATCTATATATATTTGTGATCTTTCTTCTTCAGTTTCCTTCTTGCAAATAACTGAATTGCTGTCTCTGTTATTTTTCTTTCATTTGCTCACCTATAAATAAACTGAGAATTTCATTTTAACTTCCAATCTTCTAATATAAATTACCATACGTGACAGTATAAATTTGCACTTGTATACTTGAATCAGAATAAACATTTTTAGATTCATAGCTATTTCGTCGAACAATGCATTCTCGTCAAATGATACATAAACGTTAGATGAAATTACTGCAGTATGTATAAATGGTGATGTTTATGGATTAGAAACAGTTTTAAATTCAATTCCATCAGATAAACTCGACCATTATTTAAATGCAATGGTCCAAGATGATCGATACTCATACACATATTTCACTCCGTTGATGATTATATCTGTTCATGGACACGATTCGATCGTACGTTTTTTATTGGAAAATTATTCTCATCATTGTATAGTTGATGCGCAGAATTATTCCTCTCAATATGATTTTGACTATCAATTTGATGTTGAACATTTTAATAAACTGACGGCACTTTGGCTTGCAGTCAAATCTAAGCATCTCAACGTTGTTCGGACTCTCGTCTCACTTGGAAAAGCAAATGTTAATCAAAAAGCAGACTATGACTACTCTGTCTCAAACTGGACACCGTTACGTCTAGCATGCGACAATGAACAATTAGAGATGGTCAAGTATCTCATAGAGAATGATGCTGATTTATACCATACAGATAAGCATGATTCAACATCTCTTATGATTGCATCATGTCGTGGACATGATGACATTGTACAATATTTGTTAAGTTTAGATGATAGCAGCAGTCATCTTTTAAATGAAGTCAATAACAAAGGATCCACTGCACTACATGAAGCAGCAGGCTCAGGAAAATTGAATATTGTTAAATTATTGCTGGAACAACATCACGCAAAAATTGTAAAAAATAACGATAGATATACGCCATTGACAATAGCTGGTATCAACAATCAGAAAACACTTGTGAACTATTTTATTAAAAATAAAACACAATGCTGGTATGCAATTTCAGAAATTATCGATGAACTTGAACTGATCGGATCATACCGTATGATAAATTGTTATCGATCTGACATTGAAACAGCTTATCATGTTCTATTATGAACAATGCGTTTAAGATATAAAGATCCAAAGGTACCAATACTCAAAAACAATCTGCCATTTCCAATTGAACCCTATGGATATTGTACTGAATGTCGAACAATTGAAGAGTTAATATCAATAAGAAATAATCCTAATCGCATGATTATAGAATGTCTTATGATACGTGAACGAGTAGGCGTTACGTCGAACTTTTTATATTTACTTGATCATCAGGCTGATTTATGTGGATATAATTTATATTCATTTGGTTATAACACTTATTTACGTGGATCTGAAGAACGTTAGCTCGCCATACGACTATGGCTACACGCATATCATCTAAGAATACAAACACAAATTAATTTAAATAAATGTGTATCTTATCTGGAGAAATGTGCTAGAATTATGGGTGAATTGTTCAATCGTAGGAGAACGAAAGAAATTCAATTTGATATATTGATGAAAGTATTAGAAACAACTGGAAATGAATATCTAAGAAATAAAAATCTTGAATCGATATTGGATGTCGAACGAGAAAATGAAAATTTTTCTTGCTCATCAAGTGACGCCGATGAAACTGTGGAAAACAATGGAGATAAGTGTTTATATGTTATCCTCAATCTTCTCTTCAATACGATGAAAGTAAGTGAGCAAATTTTTCGTAATTTCTTTCGCGGATGGTTTTTCTATCCATTGGAGTCCATTGAAAATTAACTTGACAGTGAAAGTAAATGAATAGATTGCTACCCTGTTTGATATTTTATCTTGTTCTTAAAAAAATCTTCAAATTAGAATCAAATCAGAGAGACATTTTTAAACCAAAACGATTGCTCTGTTTTGTATAGGAGTTTTTTTGATTTTTATTCTACAACCATCGGTTTAGAATATTTGACTAGATTTTCTATTGAATTATTTTTCTCTATGCTATTCTATGGCTTGTTTCAGATCTTAACATGTAAGAAGAAGAAAAAACAAGAACGACAAGCAGTTATTATTCAACGAGTTCAACAATATATTGACTTCGATTGGCGTACTATATCTGATAACAAAACATTATTACACTTATCTTTAATGGAATATCATAACTCTAATCATGTTGGTATTTGCAGAAGGTTTCCGTCTCTAGTAGTAGTTCAACTATTATTATCCTGCCGGGCATCGATCAATGCCATTGATTGTCATCATTATACACCATTACATGATTTGGTCAGCAATAAATTTAAAAAACTTACCAAAGAAGAATGGAACGATATAAAAATAATATTCAAATTACTTGTCAATACTGGAGCGCATCTTGATGCAATTGCGCGGGGAAAAACACCAGAAGATTGTGCTGAACATGAAAAGCTTAAAAGCTTTTTCCGAATACATCCAATTCAGCTCAGTCTGAAATGTCTATGTGCACGAATGATTCAAAAGAACGAATTAAACTACATTGATTGTATTCCAAAATCTTTGCACACATTTATTGAACTACATTGATTATTAAAAATAAATATATTTCTCGCTTAGAGTTCATTTAAATGTCATAATTTGTTTTGTTTCTGATTTTTTGTATAAGCGAGAAATAAAAAGCATTTTGTATATCGCACTAGGAAAATAAGCACGTTTTGAATTTCTTAGACCTTTCTCTTATAGACTCTCGTTCTGGATATTCTTTGATATCAGAATGAAAAGCTTTTTTTCGATTATATTCTTAGCTGAAGAAATTTAACAAAAGATAGATGGAAGAAATAGTTAGTATACACCTTCAAGAGTAAAAAGTAAGGACACAGTGTTGGTCATATTAGAAGAAAAGGTTTTACAACTTTCTGATACATCTTTCTCGAATATATGACGTCAAACACAGTGAATCAGTGAATTCAGTAATTAGGATGTACTACTATCGTATATTTTTTCTTGGAAATAGGTACAACTGAGAATTGATTCTGTATAATAATAGCAACTATTATTATCAGATACATAAAAAAAAGATGTTTATACATAAATCAAAATATGACGAATACTATCACCTATTTCAAAGAAAAGATAACTTATAGGTCTTCTTCGGGTGTGGATGTGGATGCCGAATCAATGTTGCACTTCCAACTACAGCCGCACTCATTGTCATTGAGAGTGTTAAATAGTAATAATAAAGAAAATTAATTTTTCTATCATTGTTTCATCTATGTTAGGTAGTATTCTGTTCAGCATTTTAAATAGTATTTGAAGAATGAATCATCTTTGAAATCTATTTATGTTTGCTTTGAGTTATCTCTCGATATATTGGTTAAAAATTTTAGAGAAATTTTTTTAAAGAATAAAAGGTTTCGCCAATTCTGATCAAAATTTACAAAATTCTGCAATGTATTATTTTACATCATAAATTCTATTCAATTTTGTTTAGATTTAACGCATATCTCTTGAACAATATTAAAACAAAAAAAATATATAAAAAATAAACAGTTGACTAATAAGATGCCATACTTTTATTAATCCTGGTTACATTTATATTTATATCCATGTAAATAGCGATACATTCGTATATAATTAAAACGTAACGAAAAACAAAGAACTATTATTTATTTAAAAATAAAAGAATGAAACTGCTTCGACACATATATATCAAACTTTGCTGGCCAGTTTCCTAAGAGTTTGTCACCCAATTTATCTGAAAACAACCATGTTGTAGTATAAAATTTTTATGATTTTAATTTTCATGAGTGCACTAAGATCATCTACTAGACATCTATAAATTATGTAAGTTCGGTATTGTAGGGTTAAGGCAATCATGAGTTAATGAAAAATTTTACTACGTGTTACTGGTATATTTTTATAAAAAATGACTTTTTTTCTGATTGTTTTGACGAAAAAACCAATTTGATAAATCTATCTGAAAACATTTAATTTTTCAAAAAAACTTATCAGGAAAGTGTGGTATACTGCCTTTGAAAAGTAATTGTTCCACAGTTAGAAACGGAAAACAAATGTACCATTTAATTCAGATTACCCGTTATTAATCTTAAATGCAAAATCTTTTGCATAATCGTATTTTTCATGTTGGAAACCTTATTTGAAAAAAAAATGATTTATTGACAAAAGAACCTTCATAAGGTTTATTTTAAGTTAAAAATATCAACCATAATTTCTTAGTTTTAATAAATTCATTTTTGTCAAATCATACAAGAATAACACCGTGTCGAGCTTCAGGAAAACATCCGCAGGTCAAACAAAGCACGCTTGTAAACGACCATATTTCTCCGTATACGTATTATTTATAATGAAATAGTAATACCAAAAATATTATTTAATTAAATATTTCAAATCAAATTAATAGAATTATTCATACTTGTCATTAATTATGCAAATTTAAATGAGAATCTATGTAATTATGAAAAAAATATTCTTTATTGGATTATTGAAATTAAGTTTTAAAATTATTTTTAATTAACATTAAAATGCCAATAATCATATTT